CGGAGAGCTACAAGACACTTTTATCTTTAATATTACTTATTATCAATTCAGACTTATTTTGGTTTTTATCAATGTTTACGTGTGAAAACAGAACCTGTTGGTATGATATTTTGTTTCTAACACCGTTATCTATCATACCTGAGGTGTAAACACGCATGGTTAAAATCTGATCAACTGCCTTTGATGCTGCAGCCAGAAATCTGTCTGCGCCACGGGAGGAGTTGATCCACATGTCGTGTTATGTCAGTGTGCACACGTGCACCAGCAGTGGTCACGGAGCGGGGAATGTATGTTAGCTCATCTGTTCGCCCCTGCTCTTCTTCTTTCATATTCAGATTCTGTGTGTTTGATGTCTTGGAGCATATCTTTGGCGAGCCCGTGTTGGTCTGTGTTTCTGAGAGGTAGCAGTAGTTAGTGATTAGGCCCTGCTTTCTTTGTGTCAGCACTGATAAGCAAGGCCAGGCACTCTTTGATATGGCCAGTGGTCTGTCAGAGCCCTGGTTTCAACTGACAGCTTATCTGCATGCTGCTCTCCTCCCGTCTTCTGTTTGTCGGACGGCAATTAAACTCTGCTTGCTCGTACCGCAACACGTTTTCTGGCTTTACCAAAGTGGCCTCTTAAGAGACAAATTTACTATTACTGCACTAAAGTAATCTGGCTAACATTTTTTTTCATCCCCTCTGCTGAATAATATTAGTTTCAGGGTACAGTGTTGTAGCCTACCTTAAATAAAATAAAAATAGTTTTTAATTAACCTAATTTTAAATTAGGTTTGAGTTGAATATTTGAATTGTAAGTTCATTTCTAACCTGATACACAAGGAAGTTACCACTCACTCGAGTTGAAGAAATGTTTTCCTTTCGGATTTTAGTGACAATACCACACAATGAACTTAAACTTTTATACTAGAATTTATAAGACAACTTCTGAATTTATTGCATTGTTGTTTAGAGCTTTAAAACTGACCTAACTACTTTAAGGTTTATTTCTTGTACATTTAAATAGACAAAAAAAAAAAAAAAAAAAAACTGGAGTTAATGGCAACAAAGTTAGACACATTTTTATTTGTCACCAAACATTTCTTACAAGACATTTATTATAACAAGGTTTCAATGCAATTCAACTTAAAATAATATTCTAGCAAAAGATAAAGGGCAAAAAACATTGAACTATGATGATTAAAAAAAAAAGAAGCCAGGACTGGATTTACATTTAAGATAAGTACACTTAAAATACATAAGGTGTACCATGTATTTATTTGACTTCCACTTTTACCCAAAGTTTCCTTCTTTTAATCCCAAAGACCATTCAGTTTTGCAGTAGAAAATAATTCATAAATGACATCATACTAATCTGTTGTGTTTGGAACATTTGCCTTGATCTATTTCTTTATAATGGCGTTTCTAGCCACTACACTAAATATTCTAAAAATACTTTTTTTTTAAATTACTATAAATGAGTGCTGAATGAAAGAAGCCAGAAATGTTCCTCACATTTACATGTAATATTTTCTTCAAATTAAGTGGCCAGTTTTGCCTTAATGGCTTGCCAATAAATTGTTTGAGCACGTTAAAAAGAAATAAATGATTAGCTTCCCTGGTTCCACAGTTTCTCCAGCAGCTGGAAGAGCTTGTAAAAATGGTGAGATAAGACATATATATTAATTTTCCAGCCAAATGGCAGAGCTTCTATGGAGATTTAAAAATATTTTGACCACGTTTCATCTAAATTTTAACTGGATTTTTTTTCCTCCGTTACCAATTTGCGAAGACAAATGGCAAAAAAAAAAAAATGATGGGCCACATCATCAATTTAATTCATTCTAATAAGCTGAAAAATAAATTATGAGCTCTGCAGCATAAAAAGACAAGGGCATGATGTTTGCATGTATGAAGAAAAACTTACAGTTTACGATTTGAAGAATACGTCAGCTGTAAAACACAGGCTCTTTGTGATTGTATGGAGCTCCATGGCATTAAGTGATACACAGTCTCCCTTGTTGATTAAAGCAGCTAGAAAAATCAGAAGGATGCAGGGAATCAAATGCTGATTGGTTGATGCTTCACAATATAGATGACAATCCTCCATAACACATTCAGAAAATGACAAATCAACCAAAAGAGATTTTATATAT